ACCCTCAACCTTATGAATCCCAATATAACTCCTATATCTCCCATATCCCCCTTTAAAGGGTACCCCGCCCTAATTTTGGGAAATCCCCATATATTCATTTATATATATAGATAGATAGATAGATATGGAGACTTCCATGGAAGGCCAGTCTTCCTAGGTTTAGAGTTTAGGGTTTGGAGTTTGGGGTTTAGGGTTGAGGGCTTAGGGTTTGGTGCGTGTAGGGGTTAATTTTGTCGTTTAGGATTTGAATCCCCAAGCTCTAAGCCCTACGACCTGACATCCTGGCATGGAGAGGCCAAAGGCTAGGATTTAGGTTTGGTAAGGTTCGCTCAGGACATGCGTTCATCTCTAGGTTCAAATGCAGGTCCCCCTATGCCCCCTCCAAATACCAAGGATTTAGGGTTTACCTGTACCTTCTGGAACCCATAGTCTTTGGATTTTCGGTTTTAGAATTCCATACGCGCACAGGACAGAACCTTCAAAACGTGTGTTTCATTGGACCCTAAGCCCTCAGCGCAAAATCAACTTACCATCGCTTCCGCTCCGGACTTTCATTTTCGAATTTCCTCCCTTACCACTTTCAGAGGTTCATTTGCTGCAAAATGGACCCTCAACCCTGAATGACTGTAATAAGCACTGTCCCAATCCCGGGCCCGTAGTTAGGACCCAGACAAGAGGTAGGGGCCTGTATTCACGGCTTAGAATTGGGACCTTCGACCTAGGAGGCCCATACCTTCAATCCTAATAATGTAAACCCATGATTAATACAACCTCCTCCTTTTAGGGGCCTCAATCTCAGAATCCCTAGTATAATCCCTACTAATTAAGCGGAGGGGGTTTATTAATCAGGGGTCTACATTAACTATCCTACGAAGGTGCCAAACCTGACGGTACGCACTTTGGCTGGCTTTCGCCTGGCTGTTAAGTCAGGTTGGGGGTATAGGGGTGTAGCGGTCTAGGGTATTGGGTTTGGGGATTGCGGGGTTTGGTGGTGCAGGGGTTTAGGGTCTAAGGTTACGGGCTTGGGCTTAGTCGAACACATTTTCCGAATAACGAAGCAACTATTCTGCAAACAGCACCGTTTCATGATAAGATCCATGATTATTGGGGCGGTTGAGTTGAGGGCTTCTTCCGTGGATAGGGGATTAGCGTAACCACTGCACGAACCCGAAAAGGGTTCTGAAGAAGTCTTTGTACTTTTTGCTTTTTTTTATAATGACAAATTTAGGTCTAAGGCTAAAGTTGTTCTAGGTTTAGGCTATTCGGGTGTCTCCAACGGCTTCTTATACTGGGGAGGCTAGATGCTTTAATTTCGGAAGGGGTCAAAAAGTCAGCTGAGCCATGGCTGCTTTGGGGGGGTCGTGTAATCCGCAAGGTGGAGTAAGGTTCCATGATCCTGTGGTCCTTCATACCACTATGGGCTATTAGACCTTAAGGGTACCTTAATCTACCCTTATTTGGGTCCTAATAGGGAATTTTAGGGTTTAATAGCCCATAGTGGTAAGAGGGGTTTCATCTCATGGGTTTCAAACACTAACAACAGCTACTCAGCTAAGGTACCATATTCATGACAACGGCGGCCGCCCGTTCAAGGTCGAAGTGAAGTGGCCCGGTTCTAAGGCCGAGGTGAAGGTTTTCAAGGCATGGCTTTTTGAAATCGTAGGGGTCTATATAGGGTCTAGGATTTAGGGTGTAGGGTGCGTCTTTTTTGAGCGGAGGTAACCGCAGCCTGTGCTGAGGACCATACAGTAATAATATGACCACAGTAGTTTCTTCTGGGAGTTCATCGTTTTGAGCTTAGGGTTTTAGGCTTAGGGGTCAGGGCCTTGAGTACAGGGTATAGCGTATACGGCCTAGGCTGCAAGAAGGCGCACAAGGATCATGATATGATATAACCCTAAACCCCAAACTTTGTCAGGGTGGATCCTCAAAAGGGATTCCTGCCATGCTGGGGTCTAGTCTTCAACGTTCAAACCCTAAACCCTAAACCCCTAACCCGCAAACCTTAAACCCCTAACCCTAAAACCTTGAACCCGTAGCCCATTCGCAACTTTGGCTACGACATACCCATGATTTGAACTGGAAGGCCTTCAGCATGTATGTTTGGGGGTTCCTAGACCTTAAACCTCCATCAACCCCCCCCCCCTCCCCCCACTCTAAACCCTAAACCCTAACCACCCCCAATTTCTTGGGAGCTCGAAGGCCATCGGTAGCGACGACGAGGACGAGGATGACGACGATGAGAACGAGGGCAACGAAAACGCTGGTGGGCCACAGGTGGGTATTGTTAGCACGTCCTAAGGGTCCAAGGACCCAAATAAAAGGGTCCTAATTTAGGGTCTAGGGATGTCTAGGGTATAGTCCCCCTTAAGTAGATAGCATATGGGGTATTTCGGGATCTTAGTATAAGATGCAAAGCCATACTCTATCCACTTACGGGGGACTATAATGCTTTTACTCAATACTTCCAAAGATTCGCTTAAGAGAGCACAAGAAAATGCAGACAAGGAGTGCAGAGGGTTGTACCTCTCAAAATGCCTGCGTCCTAATTGTAGTGGCCATGGCTGTGAGAATCCCTAAGACTTCAGTTGTGACAGTGGGGAAGCTTGCCGGCAACGCTGGCTCAGGTGGGGCGCAGTTGGGTGCTGCTCCATTTTTTTCAGGGGCTCTTGCCAGCTAGGAGCGCAGAGGATTGTACTGCGTTCCTCAAAATGCATGCATCCATATGCATCCTTGTTTTTGAGAAGCCCTCAGGTTTCAGTTATGACCGCGGGGGACATTGCCCAGCAATTGTTCGGGAACTCCAACCACCCGCTCCTTGTCCAGATGGCCGGTGGCCAAGAAGGAGAAGAAGAAGAGCCCAAGGAGGACAACGCCCTGATTAGCCTTCATTGGTAGCCGCAAGGGTAACAAGGGAACCCATAAAGGGATAGGAGGGGTAGGTTTGTCCACATTTTGTCTCCTGTGTTAGCCTCTAGCCATCTAGGTCCCTATGAAGCATTAGGATAAGAATTTATGATAAGGCGCCCCCACGCCAACTTCACTAGGACGATGCAGAGTTGCCACAATATGAAACAGATGCCTGTCTGACACTTTCGGCGGAGAAGGTCTTTGTCGGGCAGTGCCCAAAGCACGGCGCCATATTTGATGGAAACTCCATCTTGCTGCACTTGGAGGGTTTGAAGTATGCGTTTGTCGGAGAGAATGTCTTCTCCTTCACAGCAAAGTCGCCCATCACGCAGTACGTCTCGCTTGTTGGCAACAGTGACGTGCCCTACCCTTGGGCGATTGATGAACAGGGATTCCGCTACCTGATGATCAGCAGTGTCATCCTGAACAGCAAGCTTTTCGAGAACTGTGACAAAGACCCTTACGACCTTTACTTTCACCGAGCCCTCATCACCGCAGACATAGGTATGGTTCCTATTGAGCAGCCGGATGTGCAGTTCCAAGGAATCACCGAATTCTGGATCGGCGAGGATCAGTACCTGAGGCTAAATACAACCTGCCACATGCGGACTTGCGCATTACTTCCTCATTGTTTACACCTACCACCTACCCAATATCCTTGCGGTTTTCACAAACATAATTAATGTCGCACGCTCCAAGCCCTACCCCGCGTGGCTCCTCCTTTCAAATTCGAAGACTATTGATGGCTTGCCAAAGGCTCTATTGAACCTATGTCGTAAAGGGATCTGTGTGTGTGTCTGCTTGCACATGTATAGTCACCCCCCAAGAGATTTTTTTCCGTCAAGCATCCCTTCGACCACCACCCATGTCTACATGAGCCATAATCTAAACTCCTTAGAGAGCGTCATATAGGGGATTCTACAGGGGAGTATTGTAACGCTATTCAGGGGGATACTAGGACTTTAGTTTATAGCTCATATAACCCATAAACCCTTTCTAATAACCCCAATACATACCCTATATATAGTCCCCATAAAACCCTACATAGCCGAAGCGCACATGGACCGTGTGGCCTCCAGGTATACACTCAAGTACGAACCGAATCCGGAGCCGGATTACGACCGACTGGCGGAGAGGGGGGAGTTCTTCATAGTGAAAGGTTGGGGGCGAAGGGGGGGGGGGAGGGAAGGCGGGTAAGGGGGGAAGTTTAGGGTTTACCGGTTTACCTCAAAAAGTACCCTTTCTTGTGGGGAAGCAGGGTTCGAGAGGGAAATTTTGAGTGGTTTCAGCTAAACCCTTAACCCGTAAACCCAAAACCCTGCCCCTAGGGGGAGTCCCTAGAATTCTGAGAACTCCCAGGTGGCCCCAAGATCAAGATCTCCAAGACCGAATACGTCAAGCTGATGCAGGACTCATTCTTAGACAGGTAGCCAACTGGGATGATTGCGAATCTGCTTTGTTTCTTGTAATGAAATTATATTCATTCATGTTGGAAAAAAAGAGAGTACAACCCAGTTTTGGCTGCAGCGTTCGGACAGATACAGGGCGGTGGTCTCTGCTTTTTCTATGCGTCGAAAGGATAGAGATTGCATTGTCGCAGATGACAGGAGATCCAGAGACAGTAATACCCAAAGGTTCCAAGTACCTAAGCATCATATACCTACCCAAAATCTGTACTATAATTACTATTACCCAAAACCCAAGTACCTAAATATTGGGTACTTGGACCCTAAACCCTAAACCCTATATATCCCCTACATAACCCCTATATATCCCCTTTAAAGGGACCTAAATATTGGGTACTTGGACCCTTGGGGATAGGTCCCTAAACCCTAAACCCTAAGCCCTAAACCCTAGATCTAGATTATGCAGGACTTTGCAGCTGAGATGGGCTTCGAGACTCTTCACAGCGAGGAGCTGGTTGAGCGTAACATCTGAGCTATGATCTAAACTCCTTAAGGGAGAGTTATATAGGGGACTACTATAGGGGTTATTAAGGGGGATACTAGGAGTTTAGACTATAGCTCATCTGACGCTGCATGACGCATGGGCAAAAATCCGTGGTTTGCTTAACGGCCTTCACCCCTGGGCCCCGTGCGTGTGCAGAGCACAGTATGAGCTTCAGGTTTCAATCCGTCCAAGCACTCCTCAATAAGTGCATTGTGAGGTGCTGTGTTTGATGCGAATCATGAAGACTCGAAGTGCCCGAACCTTTGGCAGGTATGATGCTATAGGAAACTGCTTGCCCGTATGATGGTGCAATTGTGGAGTACCAGTAGCTACTGCCAGTATCGGGGTCTTCGGGGACCGCGCAATACAATGTTTATCGATTATGCAGGGTTTCTTTGTACTATGTAAGCATTTGGTTTATCTTAGACAGGGAGACTGAGGACATAGGTCTGAGAGGAATGCCATGACCTATTATTTGTACGTTCAAATGCGAAAGTCACTTTCGTAAGACTATCAATGACTGCAAACATTGAACGACACATCAGCGTAAACCATCAGCCCATACTCTACGGCTGGAACAGTTGACCTGCAACCCAAAATTTTGGGCACATTTTTTTCTCGGCACTGCATCTTTTGCAGCGCAAGTGCAACAGAACCTTGACTTGGACGGTAGACATGAAGGAAGTTACAAGCGGTGACAATACACAGCATGTATACGGTATACCATATCTACAAGGTTCCTAAAAATACGTTTTAATTTCTGTTACCAACAATCCGAATATTCAGCTGAAACTATAATTTCTACTGGGGTTCCAAATCCCTTAGAGTGATGGCATGGCTTCATCTTGCAGCTTTTGTTCATGACAAAGTAAAGTCACGTCATCTGATCTCAGCCTTAGTTGCTTTGTATAGAAGACTGCTGCCACAGAACTTTTGCATTGTTAACCAGGACCTTCCTTGTACCCTTAATTGGGGATATATGGTCCCTAATGGTGGGTACTTAGGCCCTCATAGAGGGTAGGAGGAGGGTCTAGGAATTAAACACAAGGAATCAAGATGCCATTGTCTGGTTTCATAGCTCTGCGTAACTGGGCTAGAGCCTGTAGTACGGTACGCCGGTGCCATGCGCAAATGGGTTGAAACATGGGGGGTCCCCTTTACATAACGCAAGAGAATATTTTGGAGGCCACTTAGTTTGGAAAAAAAAACAAGCGTCCCTTCGAACGCCACGAGATTAAGCATATGTGTGTGAACGATGGGGTTTCCTTTGGATATCGCAAGATAACTGGAGCCTAAGCATGTACTTGGGAGCTTCTCAAAAAATGAGCCTGTACTTATCCAGAAATGGGCCCTCTTTAATCTCCCACCCTGAACCCTAAACCCCTGTATCCCTGCTTTCCCCACTTTTACATGTTTCACGTTTACATGTGTGTGAGAAAACCTGGGTGTAGAAAGACTGGCTCCGTCTTATGTGCCCCAAGATGCTGTGTCCATCCAACGTATAAAGCAGTATATGGCGGGGTTTAAGATTTGTGGTTTAGGGTTTGGGGGGTGGCCCCCTCAGACCCCCCCCCAGCGCCCCCGCCTCCTAAGCCCTAATCCCCCAGACCCTAAGCGCCGAAATCCCTAAATGCCTTGTCAAAGTGCTCGTTCTTCTGGGGACTTCCCAGCCGAAAGCTTAACTACCCCAAGCCCTAAATTCCCCTAATGGTCCAAGTACCTAATAATCATATACTTACCCAAAATCTGTACGACAATTACTATTACCCAAGACGCAAGTACCTAAATATTGGGTACTTGGACCCGAAACCCTAAACCATATATATCCCTACATAACCCATATATATCCCCCTTTAAAGGGACCTAAATATTGGGTACTTGGACCCTTAGGGTTCCAGCACTCCCAGGATCCCCATGTGCTTCTCTTGCTATTCAGGGAGGGTATTTTGGGGACCGAGGGTTTAGAGGGCTTACTGTTCAGAGTCTACCTAAACCCCCAAAGTAGGTAAAATAATGGCCCAAACCCCCTAAATCTAGCCCAAAAGGCCATTATTCTACATACTTTGGGGGTCCAGGTAGGCTTCGCTGTTTAGGGCGAAGGTTTGGGGCTCGAAATTGGAACTTCCACTCCGTCACGGCCTGTGCTGCCAATTCATTTTCATGCGCTGCCGTGATGGAACCTGATATGCCACAATAATAGGGTCCCTTTAAAGGGCTTATAGGGGATATATAGGGATATATATGGGAATTATATAAGGGTCCAACGACCCCAACAGTAGGGTTTTACGGCCCAAATACTACAATATTAACGGTATTTGGGCCCTTAAACCCTATTATTTGGGTCCTTGGACCCTTAGGGTGAACCACTGTCAATATCAGCCTTACCAAGCGTCCATTAAGGGTGGACATAGGGGTCCCTCTTGTAGTTGAGTATAGTCTTAAACTGTTCCCTATAGTAAAGAACCCATGTCCATTAGTTTTATGGGAAATACTTTCACTGCAGCTCATATCGATTGTTGAATATCTCTTGATGGAGAGAGTCACGGAAGCCACGCCATGCACCCCAAGTACTTGGGTTGGTGCTTGTGGCGCCTGCCTCCCCTAACCGAATCCCAAGTGCCCTACACCCGTGACTACTGCCCCCACTCAGAGACAGCTGGATAATATGTAGAATATGGCTATATATGGTCCGTAAGATTACCCCTATATAGACCGTCACTGGGTCGGGGCGGTACCAAAACCTAAGCCCTAGCCCTAACTAGCCTCCAAATCACAAGTCCGAGTGCACTCTAGAATGAAATGCTACGCTTTGTAAGCCCCCAGCATTGACCTTGTTCAAGATGTCTCTTTTGCTCTAAATGCCTGGGCTCTATATATTACCTAGATGGCCTATTTACTCGTTGCTCACCCCCCGTAAACAATGGCTCTGCGGCAGGGCAACAGACATTTGGCGTGTCTGGCCAGCAGTTTTCGCATGCCTTAAACCCTAGATCCTGTTTGACATTTGCATGGTCTGCACAAGGGATCCTTTGTAGCTTCTTGAAATACGGCTATCCTTACACAAGTAAAAAAAAGGCGCCTTCCTTATTACTAGGGGAGATAGAGGGGAATTTGAGGTTCCTTCTCAAAGTGGTAGGTTCTCGGGGCTTAGCCCTGAGTCCTCTTAGGGCTTAGGCTTCAGGAGGGTACTTTTTTTTGGTGTGGCATTGGATTGTACGGACCAGCGAGCATGGCTTAGGGTTCAGTGTTTAGGGCTCACGGCATTGCTTTACTTCTTGGACTTAAAACAATCAAGTGTTAAAAACAAGTCCCAAGAGCCACGGAAAACCCTAAACGCTTATTTTACCTACTTTCGGGGTTCAGGTGGTGGCTACCTTTCTGTGTAGTACCTGTTTGGTCTTATATTACAATCCCTTACCACGAGATCATAACACACGCAAAAAGGAACCACATGTGAGCCCTTGGGGTAAGAGGGGTAAGAGTTAATTCAACCCTGAGCCTACAGATGTTTAAGGGTTTAGGGTTTGGGGTCTTTGACTCCCAGACCCTTGAGGCCCCACATACCCGACCTACACTAGGGTTTACCATTTCCAAACTGGAAGTGAAAGCAGTCCCTGCACCATAAATCCCAGCTCCAAGCCCAAAGCCGTGAATCCACGTAACAGAATCTTGGAACCCCAACCCTGAACCCCGATGAGGCTTCACTGGACATAGCCCCTACACAGGTAACCCCTACACAGGACTGGTGTAGATTTCCTCGATCAGCAGGAATCTCGGGGTTCTAAGTCTAGGATTTATTTTTTATACTCTGGGCCCCTAAAGTCTATTGACGGGCCTAAGCCCTATACATTTAACCTTATACCCCAATCCCCTTTTCCCTTCAACCCCATATCAATGGACTTTCCCTCAAGCCCTACATATATATATACCCAATCTTAATATGGTGGTTTCCATTTTCTTTCCATCATCTAGAGATCCCTATAGAATCCCCATCTACTCCCTACATAACCCATGTATAATCCCGGTAAAATCCTTACCTAATCCATGTAAAATCCCCGTCCCTTGGCCACCCTAAACCCTAAATCCCAGCTATGTAGCTGAGGGCCGGGGACCCAGCCGGCCTGGGCCGGGCGTCCCGGCGGTACGAGGCCGCGGCATTCAGGGCTGAGTGGTGCTGTAGGGGTTATGTAGGATTATAAGGCTATATGGTAGTTTCCCAAAACAGGGGGACCCCAATATAGACCCAAATATACTATAGTCCTTATTATGGGGACCCCCAAAATTGTACCCCTAATTTTGGGAAACCCGTATACTAATGGGGAGTAACAGGATTCAGGGCTTGGGTGTGTTTAGGGCCGTAGGGTTCCAGGGTTCCAGGGTTTCGGGCTTGGGGGGTCAGGTCATGTGGTTTAGGCATAGTTTAAGAGTTTGAGGAGTTTAGGGTCAAGGGAACTTGGTTCACTGTTCAGATGCAGGGTTGAGGAGAAAGAGTTTGGGGTTGAGGAGTCAACTATGTTTAGCTTTCAGTTTTTTGGGGGACTCGCAGGGCAACGAAAACGCCTAAACGGCTGTCGTTATCCCGCAAAGCCCGTAGAACGCCAATCTCCGCTTATTCCAGTCATTTCTGCCGCCACATCATGTCTCTGATGCTGAACCTTCATGGACTGCTTGGGATGATTCAGGCTTTGACTAATGGATCCTGGACGGTCAAACTGAGTTTTCACGTTTGGCCGATCCCTTCCTTTGATATTAAGTGCGCAACCCCCCCCTGATACTAAATGTTGGGGGGAAACCTTCAATTGCTTGGAAGCGGGGATGTGTCATAGTAAGGGGCAAGGATGAGTAGTGACTCCAGCACAGGTTTGAGGAAGGTGCATGATTACGGGGTGCTTGCACCAAAAGGGCCTGAAGCTTACACCTAAACCCTGAACCCTAAACCTTCGATCCGAAACCTTAAATCCCAGATCAAGCCTGAGGTCTGGACCAAT